GAGACAGAGCCTGAAAGGAGAACAGAGTCACGTGACAGACACAGTGATGAAGCTGGTATGTGTTTGCAGTACACAAGCCACGGTTAAGACAGCTGACTCCACTGTGATGTGTCTCTCTCTCTCTCTCACACACACACACACACTGGGGATGGGCGATACCCCTTATTTTGTTTTACGATACGATACCGATATTTTTCAAGGCAGTATTGTCGATACTGATTCGATACTTCTGCACTAAACTGAAATGTATTAAATTATTAAATTACTAAGGGTAAAATGGGTAATGAAAACCACTTTATGAAACCTGTATAATCCCAAATTTTTCCCAGACATGAAAATATCCAAATGATGTGTCTTTAGTAGAGCTGTAGTCAAGTCCAGCTTTGTCGAGTCCAAGACAAGTCCAAGACCAGGACTAGTCGAGACCGAGTCAAGACCGAGTCCAAAGAGGTTCGAGTCCAAGTCAAGACCGAGTCCAAATGAGAGAGAAAAAAGGATCCTCTTCAAGACCACATCCTTAACTATTGATAATGTATGTGATGCGAGAGACAGCATATCTCCTATTCTAAGAAAAAAAGTGCTTTTGCTTTCGCCTAGAAACACACAGCGTCTGGAAACCTTGCGGTTACTGAAACCACGCCTTCTTTCTTTGCGTGCACATTTGGGCGCATTATGCTAATATTTCCACATAGTGAGGTAGACATGTGGGGGCGTGTTAGAACGAGCCGTTTTAGGGGGGCGTGGCAGAGTCTTAACTTTGATAAAGAATATCTCTTTGGTTTTGAGACTTTAGTCTTTGCAACTTCAGGGATCTTATCTATGCACAATCAGCTTGTAACACTCCAAAGAGAAAGAACAACTTGAAATCGCATCGTATGACCCCTTTAAGTCCAGTCACGTCACGTTCATTTATATAGTACTTTATGCTAATATAGCCTTAAAGGGTTAGTTCACCCAAAAATTGTGTCATTAGTTACTCACCCTCATGTCGTTTCAAACCCTTAAGACCTTCGTTTATATTCAGAACACAAATTAGGATATTTTTGATGGAATCTGAGCGCTCTCTGACCCTGCATAGACAGCAATGCAACTGAAATGTTCCCAAGTCCAGAAACGTCAGGGGTTCAACTGTAATTTTACAAAGCTACGAGAATACGTTTTGTGTGCAAAAGAAAAAAAAATAACAACGACTTTATTCAACAATTTGTCTCCTCCACACTGTAGCGCCATTTTGGAGAGTATCCACTGAACGTAAACAGCGTATGCTGTTCTGTGTCAGCCGCGTGACATGGAAATGCTGTTTCCGTTCAGATCAAATCACAACAACATAGGAAACAGATCCGGTATATTTCCCCAGAAATAATTGCAATAAGCGATATTATTGATGCTAACGGTCTAATCAGATTCAATGATCTATGCTAAGCTACAGCTAAAAGTGCTACCGCCAGACCCGGAGATCGGCTGAATGGATTAGAAAACGGTAAAACTCAACTGTTTAACTCTAGGGGAGTTGGAAAATGAGCCTACAGTATTTAAAAAAATTGTGGAGTGTTCCTTTAAACTGCATTCTCTTGACAGGAGGTAAATTTGCAGGTGAACATAAAATATGTTACATACCACTACTGGTGAACGAGCCAGTGTAATGCAAATACGTCTGAAAAGTCTGACATAAGATGCTGCATGAACGATACCGTGCTTCAAAAGCAATAACAAAAAAAAAATTTTTCTTTAAAACGATTTCATTAATCGTGTTTTTTTAATATATTTTTTTATTAAAGTGGAAATCAATTTACTAAATAATGTAAGCTTGGCTGACTGCTTCACTTCCACTTTAAACTGGCCATTTAAAACAATATAACTATATACATATAAACACAGGCTTCAGTATAAAAAGCTTTTTTAAACTGATGAAGCTTATGTTCTATTGAGCTCTTTGTAAACCTATATAAATTATTTAAGTTCAGTTGAATCACTTACATTAATTTAATCAGTAGCTGCCTTCTCAAACTTTCACTGTAGCAGTGTTTATCCCTGCCTTGTAAATGTTTCAATCCATTATATTTTTGCATAACGATCTTTTCATCTTGAACAGAGTGAATTGTGCTGATTCTCGTGAGAAGTCAATCATCCTGGTGCTTTTCCATGTTCCATGTGATTGGTTGTTTGTCGCACGTATCACACTTTTAGGTGCACACGCCTCACAAACTCAGGATCAAACCTGAGTTGACGGAGAATGTTTATGCCGAGCGTTGTGCAACAGCTGATCCTGATCTAAACCGGGTTATGTTTGTCTGGTTTTGTCAACTCTAAACCTACTCTGAAACACAAAGTTTGTTCAACTAGTTTCATGCAACAGGCCTCTGGAGTCAAATTTATAGTAAAAATCAGCTGACAGAGTTTACTGAGTTAAGACATACTCTACAGCCTGTTAAAGGGATAGTTCACCCAAAAATGAAACTATGATGTTTATCAGCTTACCTCCAGGGCATCCAAGATGTAGGTGACTTTGTTTCTTCAGTAGAACACATATGATGATTTTTAACTCCAACCGTTGCAGTCTGTCAGTCGTATAATGCATGGCAATGATAACAAAATCTATGAGAGTAAAAAAAACATGCACAGACAAATCCAAATTAAACCCTGCGGTTCATGACGACATATTGATGTCCTAAGACACGAAACGATCGGTTTGTGTGAGAAACCGAACAGTATTTAGATCATTTGTTACCTCTAATACACCACTATGTCCAACTGTTTTGTGTGCGCCCACGGCATCCCGTGCGTGAGGTGTGTACGCGCTCTGGTGTAGTCTTTTGTGGGATTATGTGCACACAGCAGTGTGTGTGAAAATGTCTAGTGCGCATAGAGGAGAGTGTGTTACTACAGGTTGTTTGTACAGGCCCACTCACCTGTGTGTAGCACACTCCGAATTGCTCAATTGATTGGGGGGGGGTTATTATGCTGTAGGGGTTTGTATGGGGTTTCAGAGGAGGGCGTGGTGATTAGAGTTCAGGGCTCTCACAGCCTGGGGGGAAAAGCTGTTGAGCAGTCTGGCGGAGCGGGCTCTGATGCTTCGGTACCGTCTTCCTGATGGTAGGAGCTGGAAGAGACTGTGGGAGGGATGGGTGGGGTCCTTTACGATACTGTTGGCTTTGCTGGAGCATCGTGTAAGGAAAATGTCCAGAATGGAGGGGAGAGGGGCACCGATGATCTTTGCAGTTGTGTTCACTGTCCGCTGTAGGGTCTTGCGGTCAGCAGCACTACAGTTCCCATACCAGACAGTGATGCAGCTGGTCAGCACGCTCTTAATGGTGCCCCTGTAGAATGTGGTGAGGATTGGTGGGGGGAGACTTGCTCTTTTCAGTCGGCGGAGAAAGTGTAGGCGCTGTTGGGCCTTCTTGGAGAGTGACATGGTGTTGGTGGTCCAGGTGAGATCCTCTGTGATGTGCACTCCCAGGAATTTAGTGCTGCTGACTCTCTCCACAGTCGAGCTGTCGATGGTCAGTGGGGGGTGGTCAGTAGAGTTTCTCCTGAAGTCCATTACAACCTCCTTTGTCTTCCCCACATTGAGGGGCAGGTTGTTAACGCCACACCATGCAGCCAGCTGTGCCACTTCCTCTCTGTAGTGCGTTTCCGTTGTTGCTGATGAGACCTACCACCGTTGTGTCATACGCCAACTTGATGATGTGGTTGGAGCTGAACTTGGCAGTGCAGTATGTAGTATGAAAAAAGTAGTATGTGTATGTTTACATGCTCATGCACTACAAATCATCTTGCACTGCTCCCCAGCCAGCTGCTTGACTTACGATGTTTCTCTTTGCACATGTACAGTATTTATGTGAAGCATTCGTATAGTTTGTATTTTTTCGTTTATGTATAGGTAACCATTTATATATAGTATATTTATAGTCAAAATCAGTCAGTAGGCTAGTTGTGTATAGGTTTTACTGTTTTACTTCATTGTTGTATGTCTGTATGTAGCACCGTGGTCCTGTGAGGCACGACATTTCGTTCCACTGCATGCCCCCACATGTAATGGAATGACAATAAAGCTCGACTTGGCTCGACTATGGTTCTGCACATTTTAAAAGGCAAAATGTTTCTTTATTACACTGTTCACAGTGTTTTTAGGTGTATATTTGGTGCTGGTGATGTATATGATTTTTGGCATGGAAAAGATCCTCTTCATGACCTCTGTGTTATTGTTGAAGAGGATGGTCGATGTCGTTCATGTTGTCTAAACTCTCAACTCAGCAAAAGAGAAAGTGAAAGTACACCACAGAGTTCATCTGCCACCATTTTAAATACGCAGAATACGATTTGTTGCACAAGTAAAATGTACTATCGAAGTGTTTAGTAAAGACGATTATGTAAGTTTATGCAGGAATTGACATGTATCTTGATAGAAAAGTTGGAGGGTTTTGAGAAACTTAAGCTTGAGAAAGTCTGATCAAGGTGAGTGAAAGGAAGAGAAACTGAAAAGAAACATCCTTGTTTCTCGTGTGATTTGTGATGGTGATTCTTCTGAAGTCTAACAGCACCTGTGTAAATGTATGGCTAAGCTTGAGTTAAACGTCACAGGATCCATTCAGATAAATGATAACGTTTGATTAATATGATTATGTGATTAGTTTTGTGTCTAAATGTCATTTCTGTTCAGTAAAACCCATACAGCTCCATCATGGACAGTTCACAACGATTCAGAAATGAAGAGTTTTCTCCAAGATGCAGGTACTTTTTTTATTAATATTAATATATTAATAATAGTTTATATTATGTGGGAAAAAAGACAAAAGTTTTGCCTATTTTTGTGTTTATATTTGTCCGGTTCTTTTAATGCTACAATTAGTGTTGTCAAACGATTAATGGCGATTAATCGCATCCAAAATAAAAGTTTTTGTTTGCGTAATACATGTATGTGTACTGTGTTTATTTATTATGTATATGTAAATACACACACATACAGTATATATTTTGAAAATAGTTACACGTATATACATTTATATTTATATTATTATATTTTACATTATATATAAATGTATTTAATATATAAACATAACATATTTTGTATTAAATATTTACATGCATGTGTTTGTATTTATATATACATAATAAATATACACAGTACACACTCAACTTTTATTTTGGATGCGATTAATCGTTTGACAGCACTAACTACAATTAAATAATAACAGATCTTATGGCCTCTCCTAGTCTTCTAATGAAAAATTAATGAGATTTTATCATACAGAATAGATCCAGAAATTAAAAGCATTACACTTAGTCTGTTCTTACAGTTCAGTCCTGCAGGAGAGATCAAAACCAGAGCCCAGCTCTGTGTCAATGAAGAGTGACCAGTCAATGGATAAGCCAAAACAATTTAAGAGTGGAAACACACAACCTAGTCTCAGGTATGCAATTTCTATAATAAATGTTTTATAGAATATATATGTGACCCTGGACCACAAAACCAGTCATAAGTTTATCAAAATTATCGATTTTTCTTTTATGCCAAAAATCATTAGGATATTAAGTAAAGATCATATTCCATGAAGATATTTTGTCAATTTCCTACCGCAAATATATCAAAACTTAATTTTTGTGAGTGGATGCAGCAAAATCGCGAACAAAAAAGTCCGGAAACACGCCTACAAACTTCGCTCGCCGCTACCCGCTCTTTAGGAATTACCCACTCAAGTTTGGTATCAGAATCAGAATCAGAAGAGCTTTATTACCAAGTATGTTTACACACACAAGGAATTTGACTTGACGACAGGAGCTTCCAGTGCAGAAGAAAATATAACACTAATGTAAGAAAAAAAACTGAAATTAAATAATAATGATCTATATACAGAAATAGAAGTATGGGGGGAAATTTTAATTGTTTAGATAAATGTACAGATATGTTATAAGTGTGCAGACATGTTATTTACAAAGTGTGCAGTTTATAAGTGTACAAATTTTGGATTCTGTGTATAAATATTTATGTAAAGTATCTATGTAAAGTTTGGAATTTCGGTAACACTTCATGATAATTTGTATTTATAAATTATTAACAAACATTATATAATGCTTAACATATCATTAGTTAATATATATTCACATAGCTAGAAATATGAGATAATTTTCTTGTTAATGTTTACTAATGAACGTACTAAACATTACCTAATGATTAACATATGATTATTTCATGTAATTGAAATGCTTACAAATGTCAGTAAACTTTCAGTTCATATGACCTTCATTTGTTGGTCTTTGTTGTGTAGACCTCTCACATCACACATCTTAACAAATAATCTATTCATTATTTGTTCATGTTTTTGCAGTACCCAATCTAAAGTGGAAACTATTCATCATTTGTAAATGTTTATAAACGATTACTAATCATCTAGTATCTTTGTGGGCATTGGACTTTTAGCTAATGTAACAAGGTTTGTGTAAAGGGTGGCAGGTTAAGTTTAGCTAAATGCTTGCTAAAGACACAACAGATTGTAATTCTGGTGCAAAAAATGTTTTTATCACCTCAACACTCACATTAGTACTCTACTCTTCAGTGTATCATTAAACAGGACATGCCTTGAATCATAAATAAACAGGGGGAAACAAATCATTTTTTTAAAGAAAATACTTGTTCATCAAAACAAAAATAATATAAACAGATTGAACTGTGTTCCCTTATATTAATCAAATTGACCCCTGTACACTTCTGACACTTTAACCAACCCTTAAACCTACCCATACCAGCAAACCTGTCCCTAACCTTACCCGTGTCACACCTCAATAGCAGCAAAAGTGTTGTACATCATTTTATAACTTCTGTTAAAATCATTTGTAGATTCTCAATAAGTGCTTGATCAAATGGAATTGAAAGTTTAATGACATTTGTAAGCATTTTAGCTTACATGAAATAATGATTTGTTTGAACATAATGTTAATGTTTAATAAGTTTATTAGCAAACATTAACAAGTACATTATCTCACGTTTCTAACTCTTTGAATATATATTTACTAATGATCCATTAAGCATTATTTAATGTTTGTTAATGATTTATTAATGAAAGTTATTATAAAGTGTTACCAGAATTTCTGCTTTCGGGTTCATATACTCTCCACAACACCATTACAGCGGTAAGCCAATAGAGAGCGTTTAAAACAAACCCTACATTAGTAATATGCATTGCTAAGAACTTCATTTGAACAACTTTAAAGATGATTTTCTCAGTATTTAGATTTTTTTTGCACCCTCAGATTCCAGATTTTCAAATAGTTGTATCTCGGCCAAATATTGTCCTGTCCTAACAAACATTAATGGAAAGCTTATTTATTCAGCTTTCAGGTCATGTATAAATCTCAATTTCCAAAAATGGACCCTTATGACTGGTTTAGCGGTCCAGGGTCACATATTTTAGAAACTTCCATAAACATTGGTTCATAGTATAATACTTTAAAGCAGGAGTCACCAAACTCTGTCCTGGAGGGCCTGCAGAGTTTAGCTCCAAACCTAATTAGACACACCTGAACCTGAAGTTCGTACTAGGTATACTTGAAACTTTTAGGCAGGTGTGTTGAGGCAAGTTGGAGCCAAACTCTGCAGGACACCGGCCCTCCAGGACCAAGTTTGGTGACCCCAGCTTTAAGGTATGTATGAAGTTTTAAAATATACAATACTGTAATTATCCTGATTTTGAAGGGGACCTATTATGCAAAATTCACTTTTATAGGGTGCTTGAACACAGATGTGTGGACAGTGGACAGTGTGTGTAAACAACCAGTCTATAATTATAAAAATTCACCCACTTCGTTTTTATATAATCTCCATAAATCATATACCCAATTCTTCCTACGTTGACGTCATTGTAGGGGCAGCCCTGCCCATGATTGGTGAGGATCTGCACTGTTTAGCATAGGCATTGCCCTGAGTGAGAAGCAGCAGTCCTCCATTCATAGCTTTCAGTCACGTGACCGGCTTGAAGACCTGGAGGGCAAAACATCCGTAGATCTGCAGGACAAGCCTGTCCATTTTCCATCTGTTTCACAGCCGCAAATATTTAGATCTCCTCTCAAAAGAATAAAACAAAGGTATGTGAACAAAATTTAAGTTTTGGCCATTTGCAATCCATATTAAGCATCCGTGGCAATATTTCAATCATTAAACATTGCGACAAAACGTTGTAAAAACACTTAAAGTGCCTTAATATATTTAAAACAGTAATATTCTCTATTAATGATGCATAGTTTACAAACCCGATTCCAAAAAAGTTGGGACACTGTACAAATTGTGAATAAAAACAGAATGCAATGATGAATGAGCCTTGGCCCAGAGAAAACGCCTGCGCTTCTGGATCATGTTTAGATATGCGTAGGCTTCTTTTTTGAACGGCGAACGGCACGGTGGATTGTGTTCACCGACAATGGTTTCTGGAAGTATTCCTGAGCCCATGTTGTGATTTCCATTACAGTAGCATTCCTGTATGTGATGCAGTGCCGTCTAAGGGCCCGAAGATCACGGGCATCCAGTATGGTTTTCCAGCCTTGACCCTTACGCACAGAGATTGTTCCAGATTCTCTGAATCTTTGGATGATATTATGCACTGTAGATGATGATAACTTCAAACTCTTTGCAATTTTTCTCTGAGAAACTCCTTTCTGATATTGCTTCACTATTTTTCGCCGCAGCATTGGGGGAATTGGTGATCCTCTGCCCATCTTGACTTCTGAGAGACACTGCCACTCTGAGAGGCTCTTTTTATACCCAATCATGTTGCCAATTGACCTAATAAGTTGCAAATTGGTCCTCCAGCTGTTCCTTATATGTACATTTAACTTTTCCGGCCTCTTATTGCTACCTGTCCCAACTTTTTTGGAATGTGTAGCTCTCATGAAATCCAAAATGAGCCAATATTTGGCATGACATTTCAAAATGTCTCACTTTCAACATTTGATATGTTATCTATATTCTATTGTGAATAAAATATAAGTTTATGAGATTTGTAAATTATTCCATTCCTTTTTTACTCACAATGTGTACAGTGTCCCAACGTTTTTGGAATTGGGTTTGTACATAGGCAAGCAGATGAGGCATATGAACGCAATCCACAATGGTTCAGTGTTTTCCTTCTAATGGTTTTCTATGGGAAACCATTTAACGTGAAACTTTGCACATTGAGTTTATATTCTGGCTTCAGCTGCTTGCCTGTACAAAATATACATAATCAATAAGGTGTTTACTGATCTCCGCCTTTTAATATCTGCGTTTTACTACATTACTACTTAATGCAAACTGCGTAAAAATAACTGGTAGTCAGTGGAGCAAAGCTTCGTTTTGCCCTCCAGGTGGGCGTTCCTATTAGGGTGTGACATCACGTGAAAACTATCAAATTTTTGTATTGTTACTAGAGCAGCTGATACAGGGATAGACATCGCTGGTCATGGAGTGCAGCTGTCCTGTCTAGTTTAGCTCCAGCCCTGATCAAACACACCTGAATGTCTTTAGGAGTACTAAAACTATGTGAAAGAAGATGAAGAAAAATGGCTGAGCTCCGCAATTCTTGTGATGTTTTTGTTGGTTTGTTCTGTGTTTTGTCATTCTTCTAGAAGTTTTACCAGAGACGAACTCCTTAACATTAGTTTTTTTTTATTGGTTTGGTACTATTTTCATAAGTAAGGTGTACATTTTCAAAACTCTTAGTACAAAACTTTAAACTGATCACACTTGTAACACCACTAGTCATTCTTTCAAAACCTGATCTCATGATTTCATTGTGGTTGCACATATTTTCATTCCACAATCATTGTTTCAGAACACAAGATTATTGAGAGCATTTGGTTTAATCACCAAAACACAACAGTAAGATCTTTTTTCAACTTAGTACTTTTAACAATCAGTTCATTCAGTAGCAAACAATACAAGGTACAGATTTCAAATCACCCTCGGTGCTGAATGCATGTTATTGTAAAACTGTATACACAGCAAATGTTACACTTACGTTCAGACAAAAGCTATATTTAAAAAAAAAAAAAAAAAAAAAAAAAAAAAAAAAATTTAAAAAAAACACAGCCATCACAGGAAATGTTACACTTGCGTTCAGACAAAAGCTATATTATAAAAAAATTCATTAAAAAAAACTTTATACAACATGAAAATGGGATCAAAGAACACATCAAAAGTCATTTACAGACGCAAGCAAAAAAAGTATTTTATTTTAATTGGAGTTTACAATACTGTGGTTGCATGTGAAAAAAACCCAAACAAAAACCTGTAAATGTAGACCTGAAATTCACATTAATTATCAAGCCATAACATCTCAACATTTGGCCATAAATTTATCAACATCACAGGGAATGTCTTCATTGTTCAGGCACCGCGGGAAAAACCTTCTGGCATGACGATTCCAGACTTGACATTGCTCTG